CTCGCAGCTGCTGCCGCCGCCGCCGCCACCACCACCGCCCTTTCTGGCACTGCAGACGCCACCCAGACCCAGCCAGGTGTTTCTTCTCCTTAATCCTCCCTTCTCGCTCCTGTTCTGCCTGCCAGCCGCTGGGCTCCCCTCGTGGCGGGAGGGAGGCGGGAAGGGAACCGAGGGGCACCAGCAAAAGACTCACTAAGCCAGGACTTGGTCACTGACGGGATGAAGATGCCAAAACTGACCCGGCTCCAGCCTCCGAGCAGGCAGGGGGTGGGACGCAGTCCAGTTTAACCCGATTTCCACCAATCACAAGCCGCCCAGCGGAGTCGGGCGCCAGGAGAGGCTGAGCTGAGTCGGCAAGAGGCGGGGATTGCGGAAAAGAACGGCCAATGGAATCAAAAGTTTCCCGCCCCTCCGCCTTGATGGACAGCCACGTTCGGACCAATGGGGGAATTGTCGCTTCGAAGAAAGCGGGATGTATCTGCGGAGTTGGAGAGAGAGGGTCTGAGCGGAGGGATCGAGTCTTGACCTCTAGGAAGAGCCTTCAAGTTGCCGAGGGACCGAGGATGTCCTTTGACCTCCGCGCGGCGTCACGTGGCCTGACGGGGGCGGGACGAGAAAGCTAGATCAGTTCCTTCCGGGTCAGTGACAGGCGCCTTCTCCACGAGGTAGTTCGTGGCTTCTTGAATCTTCCTACTCCCAGCGTTTGGTGATTGTGATTTCGGCGATGAGCTCCCAGAGAGGCAACGTGGCCCGTTCCAGGCCTCAGAGACATCAAAACACGTTTAGCTTCAAAAATGACAAGTTTGATAAGACTGTTCAGACCAAGGTAGGACCCTGCCTGTAGCATTAGATCTGACTCCAGGAAGGAATGGTTCAGTGGAGGGGAAAGAGGAAGTGAGAGGAGCTGGCGAGGGCGAGCGTGGACCGCAGCCCAGAGTTAGTTTTGGCTGCAGTGCAGCCCTTTCTGAAATGATGTTCCCACACCCTTTCTTTGACCTGGATGTGTTGTCTCCTCTTGAATGTATTTGGCAGTCAGCACTTGACTAATTGCACAAAGAGTGAATGGGTCCCTCATCTAACTTAAAATGCAAATGGGTAAATTGAGCTCCCATCTGGATCACATATTTACAGTAGGAAAACGAGGATTGTGGCACGAGCGTCTCCTAAAATGTTGTGCCAACTTTATGCAGCAATTGTTTGTTTTTGGGAAACCCCACGTCCGTATGTTTGTAGGGGGAATGGGAAGGATTAAACGTTCTCAGCCCCGGTGCTTTCACTAACATAATGGGGATACGTCTCTTGTAAAGGTAGTTTGAGAATCGAATTGTTTGAGTAATGTAAAAATGCTTGTTTTGCTTTTTATAACTCATTTACTTCTTCAGCGGGATTTCTGCAACCTGTAAGAAAATTAAGACTGTCTCCATAGCCACACGTCCTGGGTTTTTATAAAGCTCCTAATTTGCTGTAGGTGTTTCCCCCTCCAACTTCTCCGTAGCTGTATGGAGAGGAGATCATTGGAGACAAGGGCATCAGATGAACCTGATACTCACATAATCTGGAGTTCAAATTTACTAGGTGTACAGCTTAAGTAATTTATTTTAATATTTAGTTTCTCTGAAAAGCCTTACTTTAGTTTCAAATGAGAAACCTGGCAGGATTGTTGTGAGGCTAAATTAAATGATGTATATAAAAGGTCTAGATCATAGTAAGTGTCCAACAAGTGATTAATTTCTCAACATTGAAATTAATGTTGGAAGCAAACTGATTATAGTAACTTGGGGTCCCCTTTTCCTTTTCTCTTTCTGTCTTCACTAACTACAGATATTTAATGAGTACATTCCATGTACAAGGCCCTGTGCTTCAGTGCATACAATGTTAAAAAGAGTTGATTTTGCTTATAGTTTCCTGGGTCATTGGCCAATAAGCAAGCACAAAGATGTATAGTTATGAATTATAATACATTCTGATGAGGGGGGAGACAGTTCAGTAAAGAAGAATAAAGAGGGATATTTGCAATTAGGTGCTCAAAGGACCTCTTCTTTTCCTTAGGTTCAGATTCTGGGGGGCGGGGGGAGGCGGGGGGCTGAAGCAATATTTGGGAAAATTTTCTCAAGTTTGTGTGTTAACATTAGGTAAAGCTAAATAAAAGGCTGTGTTATTCCTAATAAATGACCGTCTGGTCCTGTATTCTTACTGTAAGTTTTGGCACAAGCAATTCTGATTGTTTTTCATTAGATGATAAGGCAGTTTTAATAAGTATTTAGTCACTGTGTACCCTACTGTGCTTCTTGTACTTATAAGTACAAGGCTTCTTGAACTTGTACTTCTTTTTTTTTTTTTTCTTCCAAATTTTATTTTTTATTACAAAGGGTATTACATATGTGACCGTTTTTTCCCCCGCCCTACACAGTCCCCTAGCCTCCCCTATTCCCCAGTGTCTTATGTCCATTGGTTAGGCTTATATGCATGCATACAAGTCCTTTGGTTGATCTCCTACCCCCCTACCTCCCGCCCCCGAACCCTCCCCGGCCTTCCCGATGCAGTTTGACACTCTGTTTGAGGCTTTTTATTCTGGGCCAGCTTTAGCTCTTAGGCCTCCACTGCTGAAAGTAGGTCTCTGGCCTTTGCTTACAATGTTGCAATCCTGCTGGCTGAAGTCCAGCGGTATTTGTTACATTGTTTCTT